TACCAAGACTTCTTCAATACCATACCTTTCAAGTAGATCTCTGAAGTCACCCCTCAATGAGCCGTCCTGATCGACTTGCACTTTGTCAGGACTTCCGAAGACTTCTAACCAATCCATCATCGGTTTTCTGCATTGAGAGGATTGAGGCTTCTTGGGTCTGCCAGGACCTTCACCTGAGCACAGGTAGGATGCGAGGGTATAGGATGTGGCCATATCCACCATCATCAAAAAGGAATGCATCACATCTTCTTGGTCAGGTATGTGTGCAATATCCATGGCCACACATTGATTGAAGCTGTCGTATTTTGGCACCGCCGCTGTCGATCGCGCAGGACTTCTACGTTCTTTCTCGCATGTAGGGCATGAAAACAAGGACGCTGCTCAATCTTTTCCAACATGTGCTTCCAAGCTTGACTTGAGAGGGGGTTCTCGAGCAAGTAGTGTCGTCCACCTGCAATTTGAAGTTCACAGACCTCTTTCACAAAATCCAGATGATCTAGTGCGATTTCTTGCTGAATCCTTCTGACTTCTTCATCTAGGAAATTGCTGAGTGGAGTCCATGGATCACAATTGAATCCCATCGTCACCAACCTGGGCTTCTCAACACGAATCTCCTCCAACACGGCCCGTCGGTCCTCCTTCCTGAGGAAGTTGTCACCCAGCAAAAGGTCTCGGGGTTTCCCAAAAGCCATGTTGTTGTCTTTGGCGAGGGCGGTGACAACTCCACCATCACTTCCACTGTAGAGCTCCTTCACCAACACCCTTCTCACATGCGACTTCGATCCTTTTTTTGAGCTCCTTCCATAGTGCCCAGCCATGCTCTTTGGCTTCTTCTGCCATCTTTTGAATCTTCTTCCTCAATTTGCTCTTCACGACGCGGGGGGTCTCAACACTGAAGTCTTTGGCCTTCAATTGATGAAAGACTTCTATGGATTCGCCTGCGAAACTTGTCTCCTTCTTCTTGCCCTTGTCATGTCCAATGTCTAGGAGTAGGTGTCCCCCAGGGCCATACCTTCTCGGATCCAATCGTGGTGAATTGGATTGTGGGCTTTGGCATAGCCGTGAGATCAATCACCGCACCCAGTTCTCGCAACTGAGGAAGTCCAAGCAGGAGTGGTACATCAGAATTTGGAAGTCGATGAAGAGCAACTCTTCCCTTTTGTCCGGCGATGTTGATGTCAATCCATTGCTGATGTTGCACCACAACCGGGGCATCCGCATTGACACCCTTCAGCAACTTGTTGGACTGCTGCAATCATGTCTCACTTCCAAACTTGTGAACTCATCCAATGCCCTGTCTCCTCCGCAACCGATCAATGCCGCGGTGTCCACAACACACATTCCAGCAGGGACTGTCTCATGACTGGCATTGGTCATAAAGGTCAGGCTGTGTGGGATAGTAGACATGTCAACGTCATGCGTCATGAATGCATCCACACTCAACCATGGCATACCCGATGTCTTCGGCCCTTCGTCCATCATGTGGGAAACCATCTCAAAGGCCTGGGGTCCACAATCTTCCTCCATGTCATTCAATCCAAGGCACTTCGTTGCATCCTGGCATGATGAGAGGAGCTGACCTGAAGCCGATGCCAACATAGCTGCTGCCATGCCTGCACGTTGAAGGAAACCACCTTTGCGACCTCCCTTCTTACCATGACCTTACTTCCCACCTTTCATGCTTGACGAAGGCGAACCTGAGTTCTTTGGGCATGTCTTATCACCACGCCAATGTCCCTTTTGACCACAGTCATAACATTGCGTCCTTGCCTTGATCTGTTGTAGCTTGTCTTGCAATTGACCAGCATTGAGTGTCAACTTGCCATCCAGGGCGATTGCTGTTCTGTTGTGTCCAATGGCACTTGGTTGAAATCCTCTATTGATTTTGCCATCTCGGACAGCTTGCCTCTTTCTGGGGCATACTCTGAGGCTCCTTTGCCCATCTTCTGAATGGTAGCTGCGAAAACACCCAACTCATCAAATGAAATGTCTTCCACCGTCATGACCTCAATGGCATGTTCCATCTCCTCGATGTCATATTGGATGTCTTCTTCAACCTCATACACCGGAACATCATCTTCAACCTGTTCCTCTTGCCAGTCATCAACTGCATAGATCTCCTCCGTCTCACCTTCATTTCCTCCTCAATAGGAAAAGCCCATGATCGCTTGCCACCTGGGTTGTAGCTGTTCTGCTGTCGAGCCTTGTAGTTGCCCTTCCAACCTTTGCTTTGCGGTTCATCACCACCATCCAACTGAATGAGCATCGCTTCAACAATCTTGTCCCAGTCATACTCATTACCAGCTTGTCCAAGGATGGCTCGACGCTGTGGTGGAGTCACGCCAGCATTTCGGAGCAGGAAGAAGGCCTGAAGGTCGGTTGACAGCTTGGTATGACCTTGGGTCAATCCGGACAACCTTTCATATTCACCCTCCCGTCGACTGATGTAGTCCTGTATGCTCTCACCCAAGCGCCGGCGACCCTTCTCAAAGAAATAATCCTCAAATGTCTGGGTCTTGAGGAGTGGTGCCACCTTCTCACACGCAGCTCGAACTGTCCTTACCACCAGCTGTACGGCCGCCTTCGGTCCAGCATTTGCAGATGGTTCAGCTTCGCTGATCTGGAGCAACTTCTGAGCCGCAATCTCTGGCTTTCGATGGCATAGAGTCCATGCCCTTCCATGGAGAGCATTCTTCAGCTTGGCAGCGTAACTTGTCCTCCTCCTCCTTTTGAACCGTTTGGAACCCCAGCCAAACTCTCTCCTCGTACTCCTCCGCCAGCTTTGGATTGCCATCGTAATGCACCACATTTGACTTGGGATCAACATACAATTACAATGATTGTCCTGTCTGCTGTAGCTGCATTGTCAACAAAATGTCAACAAAAATTCCGTGCACCAATGTGAAACTGCGAGCTGTCAAAACTTGCACAAAATTGAATTTCCAGCAACTGCCTCGGGGTCAAGGTCACCACCACTCGAAGATACGAAACCCGGTGGAATAGTTTCCCTAACTTTTCCTCAGCTTGCGACCCGGGAACCAATGTCAGCACTGCACGGCCAAAAACAAGGTCCAAACGAAACCAGCTCTAGCGGGGTCAAAGACAAAGTGCCAATGGCTCACCTACTAGAGCACAAGGCTCTCGCTACCAGTGTCAAGAACGTTGAGCCCTCTCGCGACCGTCCCTACGCTCGCGGATGGGTGAAGGCTCAAGGCCTAAGATTCGAACCGAAAGGTCCGACCACGGTACCTGGTTGCTACAGGTGCAAGTGTCCCTCATGAAACCTCAAGAACCTGGTTTGTTGTCTTCACAATACATGAAAGGGCGGACACCACCAGTGACAGGCATGGGAGACACATGAATAGAAATGCTGCATGGCCAACGGACAAGGGCGGACACCAGCAGTGACAGACCTGGGAGATGAATAGAAATGCTGCGTGGCCAGCGAAAAAGGGCGGACACCAGCAGTGACAGACCTGGGAGACAAATGAATAGAAATGTTGCATGGCCAACGGAAAAAGGGCGGACACGAGCAGTGACAGACCTGGAAGACAAATGAATAGAAACAACGAAAGAGGGCGGACACCACCAGTGACAAGCCTGGGGGACAAATGAATAGAAATGCCGCAAGGCCAGCGGAAAAGGGCGGACACTAGCAGTGCATGGGGGACAAATGAATAGAAACAGCGGAAAAGGGCGGCCACCAGACATGGGAGACAAACGAATGGAAATGTCACCAGCAGTGCAGGGCTGAGAGACAAACGAATAGAGATGCTAGCTGGCCAGCAGAAAAGGGGGGACGCCAGCATTGACAGACCTGGGAGACAAATGAATAGAAATGCTACATGGCCAGCGGAAAAGGGCGGACACCAGCAGTGACAGATGTGGCAGACAAATGAATAGAAATGCTACATGGCCAGCAGAAACGGGCGGACACCAGCAGTGACAGGCCTGGGAGACAAATGAATAGAAATGCTGCATCGCCAGCGGAAAAGGGCGGACACCAGCAGTGACAGACTGGGAGACTAATGAATAGAAATGCTGCATGGCCGACGAAAAGGGCGGACACCAGCAGCGACAGACCTGGGAGACAAATGAATAGAAATGTTGACAAATCAATAGAAATGTTGCATGGCCAACGGAAAAGGGCGGACACCAGCAGTGACAGACCTGGGAGACGAACGAATAGGAATGCTACATGACCAGCGGAAAAGGGCGGACACCAGCAGTGACAGACCTGGGAGACAAATGAATAGAAATGCTACATGGTCAGTGCAAATGGGCGGACACCAGCAGTGACGCAAAGGGCGGACACATCTTAAGAAAGAATTGAGAGCAAACTGTTCGGGGAAGAAGTTTGGGGTCACGACAAGCCTCCCGGAAACCCGACTACAAGCACCCAGCCTGGGAGACAAATGAAAAGAAGCGGGGTACAATAAAAGGAAATGGGAGACACATGCAAGGAAGTGGGAGACAAGCCAGCCGGGAACCGGACCACAAGCACCCAGCCTGGTAGACAATGAAAAGAAGTGGGAGACACATTCAAGGAAGTGGGAGCTGG